ACTATTGGAGCCTCACAATTTTCTGGAAGGCGATGACTCAAAACTCCCCCGACTCCAAATGGGTATGCATCACACGTCAGGACTAATGGCAGACGTTCATTAAACTGAACTAAGAGGCTATCCGAGGAAATTAATTTTTTACCCCCACAAATGCAGCTGCTTCTCTACACCCCCATACCCACGGCACCTTTTCCCCCAACAGTGGTTCAGTATCAGATGCCTTTTGTCGCAAAAACACACTATAGAAATTGAGGAGCCCTAATCCATCTTATTCCTTGGGGTTGGCATAGCCTGTATTGCTTGTACTTTCTACTTGTGTTGTGGCCCGCCAGTGGCCTGCGCGGATTGTGGCTGATTCCGATGACGAGGAGGATGGTGTGGTGTCGCGCCAGCAGCCTGTGCAGCCGGCACTCGAGTTGGACAGCAAGGAGGCTGAAGAGGATGTGGTGCCAGAGGCAGAGACTCAGCCAAGGCCTTCAAAACCTCCAGAGGCTCCTTCAAGTGAAGAGAGTGAAGTGGAGGAGCCTCTTCTTAATGCTCGAGCACGCAGGGCTACCAAAAGGCAGGAGTGGCTACTCAGGAGGAGGTCTCCTTGAGAGTAAGGCTTGAGATTAATTGGCCACTCCCTTAGCCTATTTAAGTTCGCACACAGATAGCAAATGTTGCTGGAAACAACGTTTGATCCTACCAGAGCATTTTGAGAGTGAGTTTTTTGTTACAACTTGGATTCTGGGCTGATTGCCAACCCTTGTCGGACTTTGTTTAATCTCTGTAATTCACAGCAGGCTGATAAGGACATTGGTGGTTAAAGCCTGCATTTTGAAGGGGTCTGTTTATATTAAATGGAGTTTTTGGAGCTGGATCTGTGTGCTATACTTCTTGGGACCTGTATCTGAGGCAGAACAACTTGGTGGGGTGCAATCTGGACGCATCGATCAGGTATCCCAGGAACTCGACTTGATTTACTCTACTTTACACTTTTCTTCCTTTACCTTTAATCCAGCCTCTTGAAATCTTTGTAGCACTAGTCATAGTCATTCAAATAATTCAGTTTTACTGGTAGTGGAGATGAGCACATCATCTAAATAGGGCACAACCCCAGGGATGTCATATAACAAACGTTCCATCAGGATTTGAAACAACCCTGGGGACATGTTCACCCCAAACTGTAGGCGGCGGCAATGGAACACTCCCCGATGCATTACGAGTGGCATCATCTACAAGGAGCTGCTGATACGCTTGGGCAAGATCTAACTGCGAAGATCTTAACCCCCCCCCCCACCAACGAATGTAACAAGTGCTGCATCACTGGTAATGGATAAGCATTATGTTGAAGAACCCTATTCAATATACATTTATAATATTATAATAATAACATTATAATAATTTATAATGAACAATAGATCAGAAATGTATGATATTCTAATCTGAAAGCCATATGCTGATATCACCACAGCTGATTATATAAAGCAGGGTTCTACACCTAATAATAGTCAAAGCTCCAATACCCATTTTCTAATGACTGTGTATATAGATTTAGGTAACAGATTAATTAGACCATTTTTTTATTTTTCCACATTACATTATGAGGCTTTTGTAAAGTCAAAGATGAAATATAAAGAATAAGATATAATAACAAGCTTCCTCCTGATGCATGCATGACATTATATCTGTATAATTGCATGTACACAGAGATATCTCTCTCCTAGCCTGGCAGAAAGAATGTATCCTCTGCTATTCATGCTTTAACTTGATAAATAAATATCAACTTAATATTTGAAAGATGTCCATGACTCTATTACCTTGGTTCTTACCATCTCTTTTTTTTAAATTTGCATTTCCAATTCTCTACCAGAAGACAGTGACAGAATCAAAAACTGCCTTCCTGCAATGATGTTACTCATTAAAAGAATGTAGGCTTCCTGCTGCCTCATTTAATTATGAAAAATGTAAAAAGATGTTGAATGCAAAGTTCTTCTAAAACAGGAGAAAATATTACTTGATTAAAGCTTTTATTATATTTTTTCCTGTGTGGGGATTCTGTTGTTGCTAAAGACATTTAAAATGCATTGACTGTAAATAATTTAAAATCATTTCATTAAATATAGCAATTGCCATAGTATATTTTGAATGTGACTTTTTCACTTTATTTCTTATATACTGTATGTATGTGCGTGTGTGTATCAGTGGTGGGTTCTATTTACTTTTACTACCGGTTCACAATGGGAGCCCGCATGCACGCTTCTGCGCATGCGCAGATTGTCAATTATGATGTCCAGGTGGGTGGGCAGAGCCTCCCACAGCTTTTACTATCGGAACCAGACAGAACCGGGAGCAACCCAGCACTGATGTGTGTGTGTGTGTGTGTGTGTGTGTATGTGTGTGTGTGTATACATGCTTATATACACACACATACACATACTGTATACTTACACACACAAACATTTATTTATTTATCGGATCTTTTGCTTCTACAGTAGGTACTCAGGTATATAGTATATACTTTAGAGTATATAAAACTTTTTTTAGCTTGAAACAATTATATTGAGTGTCCTTCTTACATGTGTTTTGTTCCAAATTTGCAAGACCATATACTGGTTTTATCATATTCTTGAATCATATTGTTTTGATATTCTACTGCAATGGGTGTGGGGAGGGTTTGGAACATCCCAACTCTCAGGCTTTCAATATAGCTGTGCCAGGAAGCAGATATCATAACACCTACAGGAACAATGTGTTTGTAGGATGTAATAATAGAATTTTGAAAACCTGATATATATTTTTTTTCTTCCACTTCATATACCAAAGAAAATCAAGGCAGGGCAATTTGAGTTTCTTTCTTTCTCCCTAATTTCTTTTAGGGTTAAACTAATGTTAATGTAACTATCCTTGCATTCCTTATTCAAGATCAGTGGTGGGATTCTGCCGGTTCTAAGCGGTTCGGCCGAACCATTAGTTAAATTGCTGGGTAGCCCTGCCCCTTCCCCCGCACCACTATTTATTGCCAATAAATAGGGGTGGGCGAAGGGCAGGCGAGCCAGCAATTTAACAAACGGTTCGGTGTTTTTTTGTAATTTTATTGGCCCACGGAGCTTCAGCATAGGCTAATTAGCCCGTTGATTGGATCGGCCTCCTGACTCTCAGCTGATTTGCTTTCAGCTGTTTTGCTCAGGGCTCTGCTGCTTGCTTGCAAAGAGTGCTGGAGCAGATTTTTTTCCCCTAGCTATGCTGAAAAACAAAACTGAAAGTAAAGCAGGCTGTTGGCTTTGCTGTTTGCTGCAACATTGGAAAATTAGGTAGACAGATTTCTTTTCTTTTTCCTCATCAAAAAAGGTAGGTGCAAACAATGGGAAATTTAGGGAAAAAGAGGAGAGTTCAAGATTTTAAAACACAAAAGAAAAAAAGCTATATTTAACTAGGGAATTGTAATAATTGAGATACTATTAATTATATATTGTGTTGAAAGCAGAAATGGTTAAGTTGTGGTTTGGAGGAATATATGTGGGAAATTATTTGGTTTTTTATTATTATTGATAAATATAATTAATTGATTTGTAAGAAATAGGATTGCATGGAAATAATTGGAATAGTCATGTTCATATTGATTAATATACAAAAAAGATAGTTATATAACTAATTGATTTATATTAAAATGTTGAATTTATATTAAACAACTGTAATTCCTTCTTTATCTTAATATCTTTATATTTGTTTGGGGTTGCCTTTCTTCCATTTCATCTTTTTTACGTACAGCAATCTTTCTCCTCAAACCTACCACCTGTCTCTTTTCTTTCCTTCTTACTTTCTTCCTCTCCCCGCTTCTTCTCCTCCCTACTTCCTCTTCCTTTCTCCTTCTCCTCCTCTCTTCCTCCCTCTCTTACCCTCATTCCTTCTCTAATTTCCCTTCCCTTCCTTCCTCCCTTCTCTTCCTCCCTCTCTCTCCTTCTTTCTTCCATCTCTCTTCTCCTTCCTTCATCCCTCTCTATTGCTGTATCCTTTTGTGCATATGGATTACTCAGAGGGCTGAAAAAATTATTTTTGACTGGTCCTCGCACTTTTGACCACTCCTCGAACTTACGACTGTCCTCACATTTTACATTTTTTGCCCTATCTTGTCACCATGGTGAAGAGAAGCAGTAGTGAAATGACTGACACAGTTGTTAAGAATGCCGCAATGGGCATAAAAGTGAGGAAGGTCATAAGTGCGAGGACCGGTCAAAAATGTGAGGACCAGTCAGAAATGACTTTTTTCAGCCTCTGAATAGTCCCTATGTGCATAAGGACTAGTCAGAAGAATGAAAAAGTTATTTATGACTGGTCCTCGCACTTATGACCATCCTCACATTTATGCCCATGGCGGCATTCTTAACAACTGTGTCAGTCATTTCACCACTACTTCTCTTCACCACGGTGACAAGATAGGGTGCAAAACGTAAAATGTAAGGACAGTCACATTTGTGACTGCCTAGACAGATGTCTAGACAGTAGAACTCTTTGTGGTCTGAGTTGCAATACAGGTTCAGTTTTATATATTTAAATCTTTGTCATATTAGTTACTGACTACAGTTTTAACAGATTTGTGATACAATTACTGTACATTAAAGTATATATTCTGTAAGAAATACTGGAATGACATTTGTATTTTGGACTTGACCATCTCTCCTAACAATAAAAGAGTTTAATTAATAAAGTTACCTTCATTTACCTGAACATTTAATAAGTCTACAATTCTAAAATCCTAAATTTAATGATATTGTTAGAAAAAACCCTATAGACATCTTACTTACTAATAGCCTTAATTAATAAAAAAGCTTGCCTTCAACAACAACAACTTAATGTCATATATTCAATCAAGATAAAAGTGCATGGAAAAAGACCTATTTTAGCAAACCCATATTTTAATTGTGCCATAAATACCTTCAAACCTATTTTATTGCCATGATCAATGCATAACTATTTTCATATTGGTCTCTTAATTAATTAGTATTTTGTATACTTACTGCTACGCCGGTCTTAAAAAGGAGGTAATGAACAGTCTGTGTGACATCTGCTGCATGCATTAGATTGTGGTATGGATTTTTATACTTGCTATAGCCAACTTCCAGGGCTTCCACAAAGGAGACAAGAGCAGAAATTGGAATCTATATATATATAAAAGAGATTGTAGATTGTGAACACCTTTAGCACAATAATAGATTGATTTAACCTTACCAAACTTTTCATAAACAGTGTTTCATGTGTTTGTAAATTCTGATACTCTTTAAAGCAAATGCCAGCACCAGTAGTGTGATTCAAATCCCGGCGCTACTGGTTTGCTATCGGTAGTGCGCAGATGTGCGTACTTGCTTTGTGAGTGCATGGTGCTTCTGCACATGCGCAGAGCTTTTTTGATGACGTCTGGGTGGGTGGGCGGAGCCTCCCGCCGCCGCCACTACTGATTCGCCCAAACCGGGATGAACCAGGAACAACCCACCACTGGCCAGCACCCAACTGTATCTTCTTAGAGTTATATAATGTGCTCCATGTATCACTAATATTAATACATACAAATTAAAAGCAACATAAGAAAAGCAAGAAAAAAGCAGGAATGCAGCATTTTCTTTCAGAATTAAGATGTTTAATCTATGGATAATAGGTGGTTGACAGGATAAAAAAATATCATCCTTGTCACATCAATCTCTTCTGGTTTCAGTATAGTTTTTAAAATCTTAATCTGTGTAGTTTTAATGTTTTAATTATTTTTCTATTTGTTTTATATCCTGTAAGCAGCTCAGAGTCACCTTACAGGAAAGATGGACAGCATAAAAATTAATAAAAAATAAATAAATACCTTTATTGTAATATTATAAAACTAATTTTATATTATTTACATTACAATAATATATAATTATTAACCACTATGCTGGGTATGGAGATATATAATTATATAATCATGATTCAATTGTTCTAGATCAGGGGTGTCAAACTCAAGGCCTGGAGGCCGGATCCGGCCCACAGAGTGCTTAGATCTGGCCCATGGGGCCGCCTTGGAAACAGCGAAGTCCTGTGAAAATGGAATTCCATTTTCACTGGGAGAGGGTTGCAGGAGCCCGTTGCAGCCAGAAACGGACTTCAGGAGCCTGTTTTTGCTGGCAAAGCACTTGGGCCAATACAGGAGCCCCCAACACGAGTGACACTGAGCTGGCCATGCCCATCCTGGCCATCCCCACCTCAGCCCCCTGAGGTCAAACGCAACCCTAATGCGGCCATCAATGAAATCGTTTTTGACATCCCCGTTCTAGATCATGGGTTAACTTATTTATAAGTTAGAAAGTTATGAAAGTTATATTTTCCTGCAGCTAATTTTGGAATTTCTACTCTATGGAAACAAATATATAAAACATAAACAAATTTATTTGGGGGGGCATTTTGGAATAATCCCATTAGGCAGATCCATTGTGTTTTCATATAAATCTTTAAATTTAAAAATTACATATTCACATTTAATACATGTTTTGTTTTTTTGGAAGACTCTGGTCCTGCAAAGAGATTTTCCTTATTTCTTCATACCGTGATGCCAAGATATTAAAAAGTGCTCCAAGATATTTGAATGAGTTAGTTTGAGTAACATAAATTACATAAATTTATAATGATTGGTGAAAAATTGTACTCCATGTTCCTTACAAAACCTTCTTTTCTCCCTGTTCCTTACATCACACTCAAAGTCATGCCACTAAAAATGAAAGCCCATCAGTGGGATGGACAGCTCATATTCAAAACAGACTGAAATGAAACAAGTATGAACTCCAATTTCAGAGGAAGCCTGCAATCAATTATTAGAGATTAACAAGACCATAGAATATACAAGTCAGCCACAGGCAGCAAGAGGTAAAGAATTGGATCCAGGATTTCTTGACAGCCCTAAAGCCCAAATGGCTAAGTACAGAGCAGGTGCTTGTTGCCTGTGGAAACTCTGCCACTTGGAACTTGGACCAACAACTGATATTTGGATTCTTGGCCTTCTAGACCTCGGTCCATCCTGACTTTGGACTTTGGCCATTTGTACCTCTTTGGAAACAAGCTATAAAAATAAACAAGGGGATTGTGACTTTTTTTCCCCTGTATGCATGTGTTTGCACATATGAACTTCAGTGATGGGTTCCCCCCGATTCGGCCCAGTTCTGCTGAGCTGATAGCAGTGATGATATGACATCACCAAACCAGTTCTGCCCCCTCCCGCCCCGCCCCGCGTTATTCTTACCTTTTATTTGGCCCCACCCCCAATCTATTGCTGCCTCCTGAGTCCCAGCTGATCGGCTGGAAGGAAAAAAACTGTTTAAACTCTTGCCGCAGGGCTCTAAAGGGCCGCCCTATTGCTGATCAGTGTTAAAAGGCAGTGTGGTGGTAGACCGGTGCCTCCAAAAACAAATGAGTAGACTGGTGCCTGCAAAAATAAATGGGTAGACCAGTGCCTACAAAAATAAATAGGTAGACCAGTGCCTCCAAAAACAAATGAGTAGACCGGTGCCTCCAAAAACAAATGCAAACAGTTAAAAGCCTGGTAGATCAGTACCTCTGCTAAATCCTAAAGAATTGTCACATGACCATTAAGCCACACCCACAAAATAAGCCACGCCCACAGAACCAGTAGCAAAAAAATTTAGAACCCACCCCTGATGAACTACCTATATTTATTAAATCCTTTCAAGTAAAGCTCCTTGCAAGTACTCCTCAGAATACTTGTTCATATCTTATCCACACACAGAATTCAAAACTTAGAATGGAGGAGAGGGGGGGGAATTAAGCCGCAAATAACCTGTATAGGAATAGGAAGCAAAAAGTATTGAAAATAATAAAGCCAAAAAGCATGAAATGGTTGAGCCATAATTTTACAGGAAGTCTTCCTTTGGGGAAGCTTTTAAAACTACTAATTTTATTTCATATACTGTAAAATAGAGTCATAGATTTCTGAAATTGCCCAATTTTAATTTATTACAATAATAATAATATTCTAAATAAATCATAGGACAATATATTGTAATCAGTAGCCAAAATACAAAACAACAATGACAAAATCCCCAGAAATATAAATTACTGATGTATGGAATAGGAGAAAGAAGCAGGTACTAAACTACTAACCTTGAAACGGCTGATCAGATCATAGCGTGTGAGCAGTTCATAGAAAATAAATTTTAGTGCATGATCCCCACTAGCATCATTTAATGCAAATACATCAAATGACCACTTGTCTACATTCTGTGTAGAGGGGAAAAAAAGGGCATTAGTATATTCTCTTCACCATCTGCGCACAAAGAGCACATACCTAGTTCTTAATATGGTCTTCAATCACTGTAATGGTCCAACTAAAAAAAAAGATTTTTCTGCCAGTGTTGCATTTTGTTTTAATGTTCTGAAGAGTTTTTAATTTTTGTGTTCATTTTTTTTTATTTGTCGCATGCTGCCTTGATGGTTATATACCAGAAATACAACACAGAAGAAATAAATACAAAATTCTTTACTTTTTAATTGTTACACAAATTACTGATTCCATTTTATTATTATGTTAATGTGAAAGAATGTTTTAAATCATTTTCCATGTTTTAATTACCGTAATATGAAGAAAAGTATATATTGACAAAAAAAGGAGATACTCCATTGTGCTACAAGTTAGAAGAAATTTCATTTAACCTTACTAGTATTTAATTATATGAGAAATGAATATGCTAAATGAAATTTGGCTGTAAAAAATACTGTTGTGTTTTCAGACTAAGTATAACCACCACACGCAATCAACAAAACACACAGTGAGTAGAATCCATGTTGTTATAGTACCTATCACCTAATATTTTCAAATAATGCTTTGAAAATAGAAGTAAATAGCATCACTGTACTTAAAATGATTTAAATTACCAATGCAGAAATAGAAGAACAGTGGTAAATGAAAAATGTTAAGGAATGATGCCTTTTTTATTCTCTATAATATTATTATTGGAAAATGATATGGTCTTTCCTAATTAAAATTAAAATTCAGATTAGCTGAGCTCATCCTGGCGGCTTATTCAATTAGTATTTAAGGTGCAAACTTCCAGGTGCTGAGTCTCTTTAAAACTTAAACATGTGGGGGTGATTTTGAGTTTGAGGGATCTATTTGTAAAGTGTTCTTTGGAAATTATTTTTGAACAGATATCATGACTGTCAGTTTAACAATTTTTTTTTTACTTATAGGTACCTATTTTGGAATAAGGGGATAAAATATTTATTATTTCTGTGTTTAGATTTGATTGGCCAAATGAATTTAGAACAGACCTAAAAATAAGTGTACCACTGTAACCACAATCCTAATCTTAAGTGTTCTAAGATTTTAATACAGAGATAAACCTGGGCCTGGTGGAAAAGACTCAAGTCGGAAAAAAGATCACACGCACGTCTATCTCCCTCCAAAGTCTAAACAGAGAATATTTTAATATGATCCATTAATTATATTAATTTCTTGCCTTTTCTCCAAAAAGCCATTTTCTTTACCTTATACAAGAGAATATAAAAGAATATACAAGAGAAAGCAGCAAACATTGCTGACTTATCCTCCACAAGTTACCATTTTTTCTTTCCCTTTTAATGAAAGGATAACTCAATCTATTTAAACATTAGAATGCTTAAAGTAGCTAGCTTAGAATGAATGAAAAAAATATCTTCAGAACGAAAAAAGTATCAGGGCTTTCAATTCCCTCATCTCCAGACAAAGAATGCAGAAGAACTCAAATGGAAATATCTGAACATTGATTTCATTTTGACCTTTGTCATTTTATTTTGCACCTAGACATAGACAGTGAACCTACATGTCTATAATAACACTCAAAATGTTTAAAATTTCAGTTTGGAATCTTCTGATTCTATCTTCAGCCACTACTGCAAATTACTTTCTATTTCCCCAAAGTATTCTAATTGTGGAAAATAAGATGACTAAATTTCATAAATACATATGTATGATTTGCCTCCAGCTGTAAAAGAAAAGGCAATTCTTCCCAGGATGTTTGTAAAATGTAAAATTGTGTTAGCCTAATAAGAATATTTGATAGGCACTTAATTTCTGACCAACATTTGCGAAGAAATAATTTGAATGTGTTTTGAATATAGGTATGGATACACATATGTACACACTTTATGAGATCAACCAGATTCAGAAGGTAAAGCAAAAAATTTCAAGTCTAGTACAAGGATGTTAATGACCACAAAAATATTTGTATTCAGATGCACAGAATGTTGGCAGTTCAGGCAATATGAAGACGCAAAATCTGTGATGTTCTAATTTACCACATTAATATTTGAAATGATAAGAACAAGAGTTAACTTCCTGGAAGCCAAATCCATTTATTTATGTTTATATTTTCTAGTTTGCTTTTCACTGATAAAACAATTCCAATACAGCAGAGTATAATTTATTTACCCTGAATTTAGTTCATCTCTAATTGAGACAAATAGACAAAAATGAAAGATTTTTCAGGAAAAAGTTATTTTCAGCTAACAGGAAAATTTTCTCTAAGGAGCAGAAGTATTTTCTTTTGTCATAATAAGGAAAATTTACATCCAACTGGATAAGTGCAATTCTATTAATATGGGTCACAATAATATTTCTTTATATGGACACTTAAATGGGATCTAAACCAAAATCAGTGTAAGGACCAGCTTCTCCCCGCCTCCCCCTTCCAAGAAAGTACGAACTCTTGAGAACTTTGTATTTCAAAAAGAACTGTTTATTGAAAGTAAGTCAAAACTCAAAGCAGGCTCTGGGGTCCCTCAGGGCATGCAGTTCAGGATAAAGGAAATTAGGAATTCCTGCCCACCTTCCAATGTGGATTCCAACCAATCCGCAGGTGTGAATACAAATTGCATCTCTCTGGGAAACAGATTCGGAGAGTTTCTCAGGGTCATTTTACAATCCACTCTCCCCCCCCCCCCACTTTCCCGAGGTGTGAGATTTCTCCAGGGATTCCTGGTGCCAGGCAATGGTTATAAATCAGGGTAAAGTTTATACAAAGAGGATCAGGACACATAGGAAAAGAACTAAATGTGACACTCCAAATCCCCCCCCTCTTCTTCCATGAAGAATGGCAGATACACAAATCTGACAATGTTACAAATATTCCTGATTTTTAGCCCTACTAGTTACAGTGAATTCTGGTCATTATGTAAAATTTGATTTTACTTTGCTTCAAATAGACATGAAGTCTACATCTGAGTTTTCACTGAGGGTTTTTCTCAATTTGTTAGGATCAACACAAGATTTGAAGGATTGCTCCATTAAACTCCTTCTGTGTACAAATTCACTAACAAACGTAGCTGACCAAGGACATCAGCCATACACATGATGTATTATAATTTTAATTTCTTTATGTAGAAAGAATGGATTTAAATCAGGGATTGAGACCTGATCCACATTTACTAATGTCAGTAGTTGAATGGGAACACAATGGAACAGTAGTTGAATGGGAATTCTTCCACTCCCTTTGCTGACTCAAATAATATTTTATACTTCCATATAAATGTCTCAAGTGCATACAAAATTTCAGTTCATTTTGAGGAGAAAAAAGTACTAAAATGTTGTAATTGCATGTGAAAAAATATCCACTTACACAGGAGATTAGGTTGATTGCAAAGTGATATACAGTGTTCCTTCACTACATAAAATGCTTGGTACTGGACAGTTTCATCATAATTTGTTAAGGTAACTTAACATAGATATGTAAAAAAGGGAGGTGAAAAGTGACAAAATTTATATAATAATGTAAACTCTGCCCCTTATATATAATAAGGTTGTTGAGAGTGTGGTGGCGCGACAGTTTCCCCGGTTCCTGGAGGAAACGGTTTATCTAGATCCATTCCAGTCGGGTTTCAGGCCTGGGCACAGCACGGAAACGGCATTGGTCGCATTGGTGGATGATCTCTGGAGGGCTCGGGACAGGGGTTGTTCCTCTGTCCTGGTCCTATTAGATCTCTCGGCGGCTTTTGATACCATCGACCATGGTATCAGGCTGAGCCAACTGGAGGGATTGGGGATAGGGGGCACAGTGTTGCAGTGGTTCTCCTCCTTCCTCTCCGACCGGTCACAGTTCGTGTTGACAGGGGGGCAGAGATCGACCTCGAGGCACTTTGTGTGTGGGGTGCCGCAAGGGTCGGTTCTCTCGCTCCTTCTGTTCAACATTTATGTGAAGCCGAGGGTGAGATCATCTGTGGTTTCGGGGTGAAGTGTCATCTGTATGCTGATGATACTCAACTTTACATCTCCACCCCGGCTGTCTTTGGAAGAGCATATGGCGGCTGTGGCCAGGAGGGCTTTTTATCAGGTTCGCCTGATTTATCAGTTGCATCCCTTTCTGGATCAGGATGCCTTATGCACTGTCACTCATGCCCTCGTCACTTGCCGCCTGGACTATTGCAATGCTCTCTACATGGGGCTCCCCTTGAGGAGCACCCGGAGGCTCCAACTGGTCCAGAATGCGGCCGGGTGGGTGATTGTGAGGGCGACATTGGGGAAGCCAAATTGATTTAATTATGTTTTAAATAATTAAATAATTAATAATAATAATAATAATAATAATAATAATAATAATAATAATAATAGTTGACAGCAGTTAGAGCCAAACTGCGAACCAGTTAAATATAAGGTAAGGAATGGAGGAAAGCACCCCTGGAAAACAGCTAACTAAACTGTGAACCAGCCAAAAATAAATTTAGGAGGAGTGGAGGAGACAATGCTGGGGACCAGTTAAAGCTAAACTGTGAACCAGCTAAATATAAGGTAAGAAGTGGAGGAAAGCATCCCTAGAAAACAGCTAATTATGCTGTGAACCAGCCAAAAATAAATTTAGGAGGAGAGGAGGAGACAATACTGGGGAGCAGTTAAAGCTAAGCTGTGAACCAGCGAAATATAGGTTAGGAGTGGAGGGAAGCATTCCTGGAAAACAGCTGAAAAGCCGTTATCCAGCTAAAAATAAACCTAGGAGGAGTGAAGGAGAAAATGTTGGAAAGCAGTTAAAACCAAACTGTGATCCAGCCAATAAATAAGGTTAGGAGTGGAGGAAAGCATCCCTGGAAACCAACTAATTAAGCTGCAATCCAGCTAAAAATAAACCTAGGAGGAGTGAAGGAGATATTTTTGAAGTACAGTTACTGATTTTGAAATGTTTTGAGAGGAATAAAATATTTTATGTTGACTATTGGGTGTGATTTAAAAGAAACATTGACTTGATTTTGGTTTTTGAAGTAAGGAAAATATATGAAATACTGATTGTTAAAATGATAAATGAATATTATAAAGAGCTGTTTAGATTTGAAGTTTAAGATTTAGGGTGATTACATAATAGCTAAATGTTAGAATAAGATGTTAGATTGAATGACAAAAATTGGATTTAGATTTGTTCTGTTTTCTTTCTGTTTTCTTTTTTTTCCCTTTAAGATGTTAATTGATGAAATTTGGAATTTATACTTATTTTATACCGGATCAAACCCTTGCTCTAAAAAGATGTTTTATGTTTTATGTCAAAAAAATGGCCTAAATCTTCCCCCTTTTTAAATGTGGAAATTTTAAATTTTTAAATTTTAAATTTGTCTTATTTATAGGGGTATGGGTAAGGCGTTTTAAATTGGGGAGCCATTTTAGATTTAATTCTGTTTTAAACGTATTTTAATTGTTTATATTGTATGTTTTTAATTTTGGCTGTTCACCGCCCCGAGTCCTTCGGGAGAGGGGGCGGTATAAAAATCTAATAAATAAATAAATAAATAAATAAATAAATAAATAAATAAATAAATAAATAAATAAAATTTCAAAAAAAAAATAGGGACAGCTTATACTGAGGGCAGCAATGACATTTCTTATTTTGGTAATATCAGAATTAGGAATGGATGCCTATGATGATTAAATATATTGTGCATATTTGTTTCTTTAAGCAGATTTCATTTAATATGAAAATAAAATTTAGAGAAATCAAAATATATACCACAGAAACCAAATCAAGGCTATAATATTTTAGTATTTTATAATAAAGAAAACTATTCATTGATATTACCTTTAGTGTTGCGATTACAGCTGGGGGATAGCTAAGTCCAACCATATTGGATGTACGCCTGTACATTCTATCATGATAAAAATAATGTGTAAGAAGTGTAAGAAATAAAAATTCAAGCATACCTAAATTCTTTATGATGGATATGAATTATCCAAATAAAACAATTTACCTTTGTTTATTCCTTTTTTTTTCATAAATTTTATTAAAGATTTTAACTACAATAGTAAAAACAAATGCAAATTATACTCAGAAAAACAAATAGAAAGATTAAAACATTCAAAAAAGAAAAAGAAAAGAAAAAGAAGAAAGTAAGTTAAGGAAAAAGAAAAGAAGTAACTTCCAATCTTCATCACAAGTAAAGTTATTTACTCTTCACCCATATAAAGTTACAAAGAAAGAAGTTGTGGGAGCTTCATCCCTGGAAGCTTTTAAGAAGAGACTGGACTGCCATCTGTCAAAAATGATGTAGGGCCTCCTGCTTGGGCAGGGGGTTGGAGTAGATGACCTACAAGGTACCTTCCAACTCTGTTAATCTGTTATTATATAAATCTATTCTTCCCATAACCTAACCCTGATCTATATGCACATCCATCAACTTTTCACACAAATATACCTATTGTGTTTCTATGACAAATATTTATTTGTATTAACAAGTAGCTTCCAATCATACCTAGTACTTTCTACAAATAGGCATTTTGCATATTAAGTATCATGTGCTGTGATATAATGGATATAAAATTTACTACCTGTGTGCTAATAGAGACTACCCTTGGAGACTATCAGATTTTCTATCCTTCCTTCATCTAAATGGGCTGATGGGCTACAAAGGGAAGTATTAGCAGCCAGCATCATGTTGATTGGCAAAAATAATTTTTTTGTAAATTCTTTTCTTGTTTAAGTTTCTTTTCCCTAAAATGCAAGATATACTATGCCATTAATAATAATTAGCATAAATTATGCATTCTGTCTATAATTTCTATTTAGGGATTGACTGAATTCAGTGGTGGGTTTGCTCCTGGTTCGCACCGGTTCGGGACAACCGGTAGTAAAAATCTGTTGTCGCTTGCAGAACCGGTAGTAATGGCTGGCTGGCCACGCCTCCAAACCAGTCCCCCAGTCAGCACTCGCTTGCCCCAGCCACCATGTTCGTTGCCACCATGTTCTTCGCGCATGCGCATCCCATTGCCTTGTAAGTCCAATGGATGTTCATGTGCGAAGAACATGGCAATGATGGCAGCAGCTTTTCCCGCCAGTACTTTTTGGCAGCCTGAGGGGAAAGCGGCTGGCAAAGAAGCCTTTTTGGAGGCTTCCCGGCCAGCCGCTTTCCAGCAGCAGCGGCTGTCTGGGGGCCACAGAAAACTCAGGTCAGCTTGCTTTCCTGACTCTCGACCAGCCGCCGCAGAAGGTAAGCAGCCGAATAAAGAGGCAGTGGTGGGGAGGAAGGCAGGCAAGTGGGCCTGGCCACGGGGACTGCCAGGAAGGCAGCCAAGCATGTTGGGGCCACCCAGCTAGCTAGCTCCCTTCCCTGTGGCCCTGCTATGCTTGCCTGCCTTCCAGCCCGGCCAGTGGGTGGGTGGGTGGCCTTTTGGGGAGATGGAGCACTGCACTGGAGCTGAGAGGGGCAGCAGCAGTGCTGAGGGAGGGTGGGCGGATGTCCCAGGGCTGCTGCATATGTGCACTGCATGTGAAGGGAAGCAGACACCCCCCTCTAAGGAAAAGAGGCAGCAGCGATGCCCTGGCTGTCACCCAGGAGAGGACCGCGGAGAGTCACCCAGACTCTCAAATGCCCCTGTCACCTCTGCTGCTGCTTCTTTTCCTGTCAGCTTCTCACCACTCTTAAAGTCGATCATGAAGAGCTGAAAGACATTTCCTTAGATCTCCGCCAAACTCATTGTTGGAATGCCAATGATCTAAGAAAATGTCTTCCAGCTCTTCATGATCAACTTTAAGAGTGGCGAGAAGCCAACAGCAAAAAAAGCAGCAGTGGAGGCAACAGGGGCCTGTGTGTCCCTCCATGGTCCTCTCCCAGGGCTTCACCACTGCCTCTTTATCTCAGAGGGGCGGTGTCTGCCTCCAAATCCTTGTGGAGGGGGACACACACACACACACATGCTCTCCGCTGCTGCTTCTTTTCATCGTGAAGAGCTGGAAGACGTTTCCTTAGATCTCATTGTTGGAGTGTTGGAGTGAAATGTGGCAGCCATGAGCTGTGCTTTCCTCCAAGTCTCATCTGAAAATCTCTGTGCAGAGAGAAGCACCTGTTTCCCTCTGCTGCCCACAACGCTTAGAGGAAAGCACAGCTCATGGCTGCTAAATTTCGCTGTGCTGCACGAAACACTTTCCCATAAAGAGCAATGAAGGAGAAAAACAGCTGCTGACCTGGAGAACACATGGACTGGAGCAGCTCTGTGTGCTCTCAACTGGCTGTTTCTTCCCCTTTGTTAGTGCAGCACAGCGAAATGTAGCAGCCATTATGAGCTGCGCTTTCCTCCAAGTCAAATCCAGAAAGATCTGGCTGGGAGGGGTGCTTCCATCCATTGGCTCAGGCAGCAGGCTCAGCTGCAGCCCCAACAAGCCAAGGAACTTCGGGGAGCCTCCCGTGTGTTGTGCCCCCCCTCCCAGCCTTCACTCATGCCCATGCCTCCATGCCTCTGAATCTCCCGAAGCCATTGCCATTGGAGCCGCAACAGGAACGGTGGCAGCCCAGTGAGCTGGACACCCAAAAATGGTGCAGAGGCATGGGCAAAGACTGGGAGGGGTGCAACACGTGGGAGGCTCCCCGCAGTTCCTCGGCTTGTCTGGGCTGCAGCTGAGTCCACTGCCCTGAGCCTGCAGAGGCCACGCAGGACACAGCTGGGAGCATGCTAACCTTGCCCTCCCCGAGTGCTAGATTCTGCTGTTGCCATTGCCCCTGCCCTGCCCATGCTCATGCGGGTTAGCATGAGCATGGCTCTCCAGGAGCTCAGTAACAAAACAGCAAAAAGTTCTCCAGTCGGCTAGCGAGAAGGAAACTGCTTTGTGCTTTCCCACAATTGCCCTTCCCAGCTGAAAAGCCATGGCTGCCAGGCTGCAGAAATAGGGTCACCCTCTTGACTGGGGGCACAGAAACTGCCTTGGTCACGCTGATGGATGATTTCTGGTGAGCCCCAGACGGGGGGTCATTCCTCTATCTTGGTGCTACTTGACCTCTCAGCAGCTTTTGATACCATTGACCATGGTATCCTTCTGGGACGATTAAGGGAGTTGGGAGTGGGAGGCACCATGTTGCGGTGGTTCTCCTCCTATCTCTCTGGTCAGTCACAGTTGGTGTTGGTAGGAGGACAGAGGTCGACCCCTAGGCCCCTCATTTGCGGGGTGCCTCAGGGCTCAGTCATCTCTCCCCTCCTATTTAACATCTACATGAAACCGCTGGGTGAAATCATCCGACGATACGGGGTGGGATATCAGCAATATGCTGATGATACCCAGCTGTATATCTCCACCCCCCTCAGTTCAGTGAGGCAGTGGATGTGATGTGCCGGTATCTGGAGGCTGTGAGGGCCTGGAGTCAACAGGCTCAGACTTAACCCAGACAAGACTGAATGGCTATGGGTATTGCCTCCTAAAGACTATATCGATTGTCCATCCTTGGTCCTGAGGGGGAGAAATTGTCCCCCTCAAAATGGGCTCACAATCTGGGTGTCCTCCTAGACTCACAGCTAAGATTGGAACAACCTCTGACAGCTGTGGCTAGGGCGACCTTTGCACAGGTTCGCCTGGTGCACCAATTGTGACCCTATGATCTGTCCCCGTACCCACACACACACAAACACAGCCAGCCGAGGGTTAAGGAAACACTTTGGAACGCACCCAGGTCTTATCTCCCACTTGGCAGCGATAGACACACCGTCTGCCAAATGCCTTTATTTTCACAAACAGAAAGATAAGGTACTTAACGTGCAAAAAGTCCAAGCAGAAACAATATTTCTCTTCGCAGTTCCGAATGAGGCTTTAGTGACTATCCAAGGTTTACTTTTGTTCGTCACAAGGATCACTGACCACTACCCTCTATTATATAGTCTCTGGGGTGTGGTCCAGTGACTCAGTTCTAATCCCTAGCACGTCTCCTAAGCTGCTGCAAACGTTTATCACGCCTTCGGAGGCGTGCGTCCAGGAATGATGTTTCTTCGTCACTCTGATCCGAGCCAGCTGTCTCCCTACTGATCTCCTCTCCCTTGGCCGGCACCTGAGACAATGCCAGAGGGGAGGGGCCTGGAGAGGGAGGCCTGGCTGACTCCTCTTCCTCATGTTCGGAGCTTTCTTCCTCCGATGGGACAGGCTCAGAGGGCGGGGCCACAACACCCTACTTGGATCAGGAGGCTCTCCTCACAGTCACTTATGCCCTTGTCATCTCACAGTTGGATTATTGCAACGCGCTCTACATGGGGCTACCCTTGAAAAGTGTTCGGAGACTACAGTTGGTCCAGAATGCAGCCGCACAAGCTATTGTGGGTGCACCTAGATACACCCACATTACACTAATTCTCCGCAAGCTGCACTGGCTCCCTATCGGTCTCCAGATGTAATTCAAGGTATTGGTTATTACCTTTAAAGCCATACATGGCTCAGGGCCAGGCTATCTTCGAGACCACCTTCTACCGCATAGCTCCCATCGACCGGTAAGATCTCACAGAGTTGGTCTCCTCTGGGTCTCGTCGGCTAAACAATGTCGGTTGACGGGCCCACGGGGAAGGGCCTTCTCTGTGGCTGCCCTGGCTCTCTGGAACCAATTACCTCCTGAGGTCCGGACCACCCCCAGCTTATTGGCCTTCTGGAAAGCAGTGAAGACCTGGCTTTTCCGGCAGGCCTGGGGCCATTGATCTCGCTATGGCGATCTTGCGAGACCCGGCCATGGAACTGAGTGTATGGGTTTTTAAAAAATTTTTATAGCATATTGTTCACATTTTTTTTTGCTGTAAGCCGCCCAGAGTCCCTAAGGAGTTGGGCGGCATAGAAATGTGACTAATAATAAATAAATAAATAAATTTATTGTTCTTTCTCCCTTTTTAACTAAGATCTAGCCTGAAGAAGAATTCTAGATAACTTGAAAATTGGTACATTATTTTGTGACATTTTATTGGTCCTAACAAAATGAATTTTGAATTTCTTTGTACCATGAATCAAAACAGCTATAATTGTTTTCTAGCTCTCACCCATAAAAAAGGTTATTAGTAGATAATTCTTCTTTTCCTTTTCCAAAGCCAAACAATGGATTGGATTCAAGTTTATATCAACAATGAAATCAATGAGAATAAAATTATCTTCTTAAATCTTTAAATAAGCTTATGTTTTCATCCAGTTTATTATAATAGTTGCAGTATATATGCATATGGCTATGATATGTGATGATGGTTTTGTTCATGGTTATTTATCTTTGTAGACCATAAGAAAGACAACCAGTTAAGGCATAATACTAGGACCTGGGAGACCATGAGTTCTAGTTCCATTTTAGGCATAAAGCCAGTTGGGTGACCTTGGGTCAGTCTGTTGTGGCCCCGCCCTCCGAGCCTATCTCATCGGAGGAAGAAGGCTCCGAACATGAAGAAGAGGAGTCGGCCAGGCCTCCCTCTCCAGGCCCCTCCCCTCTGGCACTGCCTCAAGTGCCGGCCGAGGAAGAAGAGATTAGCCAGGAGCCAAGTGTCTCCGATGAGAGCGAGAGAGATGATCTGTCGTTCCTGGATCCACGCCAACGAAGGCGTGATAAACGGTTGCAGCAGTTAAGGAGGCGTGCCAGGGATTATAACTGAGTCACTGGACCACACCCCAGAGACTATATAAGAGAGTGTGGTGGCCATTTAAGACTCTGTGACACACAAAAACTAACTCTGGCTAGTCACTTGAACAACGCTTAAAGCTGCCAAAAGGTTTCTTGTTTGGAACTGGACTATTTATAAAATGTGTGTATTTCTGTTTATCTGGTGAAGGGATATTCCGTTTATTGAAGTAAAAGCACTTGGCAGTCGGTGCTCGTATTGCTGCCAAGTTTCTGATAACAACCTGTGTGCGTGCCAAGTGCTTTCTTAACCCTCGGCTGGCTGTGTTTGTGTGTGTGTGGAGACGGGGACAGAACACAGTCTCTCTTTCATGGCCCTAGGATTTGGCAATAGCAAACAAACTTCACTGACTTGAAGGCACTAATTATCATCAGAATGTTAAAAAATATATCAAATAGCTTTTATTCAAGATTAATGATAAAATCTACAGTCTCTGTCCACTGCCTTTTACCTCTCAACAAATATTCCAGCTTGAACTGCATGAACAATGCTTCTGAATCGTGGCTTTTCTTCACTTCTTCTTAGCATCATACCCATCTGTCGGGTGAAAGTAGAAGCCAGCCAGTCCCGTACCTCTGAAGGCACAGAGTCAGACTGGATATCACCAAGCTCATCTTCTGTGTCCAAGAGGCGCCTGGAAAGGACAGAGGAAAAATTATATTAATAGTTATCTTGAAACAATATTCTTCCAATTGTCAGAAATGTGAAACCCATATATAAATCTATTGGTTAGTGAATTTATAACTTTGTTTTATTCTATTTCATTCTGAAGAAGAGGTAAATTTAATGAAAACTATTACTGATAGCTTATTTTTAGAAAACACAATAATCATGTAGTTCATATTATCTTTTTAGGGTTATTCATGATTAAAACTGCAATATATCCAGGACTCAACTGTGCATTTATACATAGCATATTTTCAAATGCTAACGGTTCAGCCAAACTGCATGTCTGATGTCTTTTCCATTCTTTTGTCATTTCAAAAGTTCAAGATAAATTATTCTATGGTAGAGAGATTTCTATAATTTGAAGAGAGACAAAAGAAAACATAAAAACTCATGCTTGTTAGTACTAACTTTTCAGTATTTAAAAAATAAAACTATTTCATGCCAAATTCTTCTACAGTTCTTCCAAACCTTTCAAGACTTCTTGTGAGGACCACCTTCCCCCCCGCCCATTCCAAGAAATTACAAACTCTTGAGAACTTTATGTTTCAAAAGGAACATTTATTAAAAGGGATGAAAGCAAGTCAAAACTCAAAGCAGGCTCAGGGGTCTCTCAGGGCATGCAGTTCAGGATAAAGGAAATTAGGAACTCCTTCCCCACCTTCCAATGCGGATTCCAACCATCCACCCATGTGAATGCGAATTGCACCAGTCTCTTTGAGAAACAGATATGAAGAGCTTCTCTGGGTCATTTTACAATCCACTCATTCCCCCACCTTATCTTTCATTTCCTGAAGTGTGAGAATTCTCCAGGCATTCCTGGTGCCAGGCAATGGTTATAAATCAGGGTAAAGTTTATACAAAGAGGATCAGGCAAAAAATTGGATACTTAGGACACATAGGAAAAGAACTAAACGTGACAACTCCAAATCCCCCCCCTTCTTCCATGAAGAATGGCAGATACACGGATCTGACACTTCTATAGCAAACTTTAACACTGAATTGGAATGTCTTCTTTATGAAGTGCCTCTAGCCTACCCTTCTCAGTATTGGACAAATGACAAAAACAAATCTTCTTTATCAAGTTTTGAGTTGTTAATGTTTTAGTGATAATGATTTTAAAGTTAATATCAGTTTAATTGAATTGCATTTGTTTATTATGTTAATTTGCTTGCATTTGTATGCTGCTATAATGTGCAAAGACTCCTTACAGTTAACAAACTATAATGGTGATAATAATTTAAAATATCCATGGTAACCATTTACACATCCTCAGTGGTGGTTTGCTACCAGTTCACCCTGGTTCAGGAGAACTGGTAGCAGCAGCAGTGGGAGGCTCCACCCACCTGCCCGGACGTCATCAAATATGCTCTGTGCATGTGCAGAAGCTTCTGTGCATGCACAGAAGTGGTGCGTGCGCAAGCAAAGCGAGCATGTACACATGAGCGAAGTGGTAGCAAAGATAAGTGAAACCCACCACTGCACATCCTGCTAGATAGAACAATAAATTATTATTACTACTTCTTGAATTATCATGCAAATAGAAAAATGGAGTATAAATTGAATGATATTTTTAATCATGGAGTATAAGCTGAATGATATTTTTAAAAATGGAATATAAATTGAGCAAAAAAATGTATATAAAAATTAAAGGTGGCTAAATTGCCAGGCAAATATTTAAATAATTCTGAACTAAATGCATTATTTGTGCCTCTATATAGAAAAATTCATTTCAGGAATTTGTGATGAATTCAGGAATTCATTTTGTGCTTTCTAAATTAAAATAAGTTTTAATTTATGTCTTATTAACATATCATTTTCATCTCACAAAAAATGAGAATCACTGCAGCTGTTAGATAAGATAAAGTTTTTGATGGAAACTTGGTGAAAGAATACTGGAATAATGCTAACATTTTCATTTCTTAAGATAACATATTTACTGATTGTTCGTGGTAGTTTTAGGAACATAGACATGTCTTTTTAAAATTTTATTGGAAGAAAAATGATTTTCATATGTATGTAATATGCCCTTATAGCTTAAAAATATTATGACGTATTGAGTTAAAAACAAAACATAAAAATACTGAAATAATTATCTCACCTAGTTTCATCAATATATACAGATTCCAACACAGTTGCTGCATATTCTAGGTTCTTTTTTAGATCAACAACAGAAGCCTCTCCTCTCTCCAGTTGTTTTACCAAAGATCGTAATCTGTGAGAAGAAAACAAGAATTTGATTAATAGAATTTTGTTTTTCAAATTTTATGTACTGTAAGTGCAACTTAATATCCCCCATAACATTCTTAAGTTCTTAATAATACAGAAGCTATATTAAATTAACCATATGCAACCCTAGGACACAGAAATCATAGTATCTGGATTATCATAGCAAACCTACAGATATTGTCTAGATTAATTAATACCACTATAATAGAAGATTCATTTTCCTAAAAGCTTTTTCAATATGACTTATAGTGTATAGTATAATTTAGAATGTGCAGGCATCAAAAATTACTCTTAGAGCCAAAGAAACAAACAAAGAAAAGAATTTGACAGTATATATTACAAGACAAAGTTTATTAAAAATATGGAATTTTCTAAAAACAAGAACAAGTCCAATGACTGCATTTACAAATAAATGCCTTTTATTTCAACAAGAAAGATTTTCAGCACTACCGCAAGAAGCTTTGTAAATTGGACTTGGACTTCCGGTGATGCTGTCAGGGCAGCGCAGAGGGAAAAGAGCGAGCTCCGCTCTTTGACTCTGTTTCTTTCGTGTTGGGGGATCCTTTGAAGGCGTGTTGAAGGTTTGAAGAGCTACACGAAGCAGAGGGGAAGCCCAAGGTCAGCGAGGTGGTATACAACTGCCCACTGGAATGAGGGAAACCCTCTTTAACCTGACGCGAATGTGTCCTGTCATCTCATCTTGACATGGCGGACCTGAGGCCATGACAGCGCACGATAGAATTGGAAGAGGAAACTTAATCAGCAGACTGTGCTCTTTTCCACTGGTGAGAGACTCCCATATGCATAAAAGTGAACAAAACAAAGTATCTGGCAAATTACAGAGAGCTCTGGTAGGAAACTAGCAGTGATTCAAAGAGACAAACCGTGACTAAGTGAAAGTAAATGCCAAGAGAGGATTGGGAGAAACAGAAAGGAAGATCAAAAGCTGACTGTAAAGGGGAGAGTGAGAGTGAACAAGTGTAAAATAATGGAGGAAGAGTAAGAGAAGAGAAAAAAGGAGAACCCATGTGTCAAAATTTGATAAGAAAAAAAAAAGGGTTGGCGAAAGATGATTAAGGCAGAAGGAGATCGGGTGATTAGAGAAAGCATGAGAGACAAGGAAGGAAGCTTGGAGAGGAGCATAAGATTAGACGGAGGTGTGAATAAACAAGTTGAGAACGGTGCCTAGTGGAGGAAAACTGGGATTAATAACGAAAAGTAAAAGTGGAATGGCAGAAACGATCCAGATTTAAATAGCCTATACAAAGTTTAAAATGCTTGAAAGAGACAGTGAGAAGATGGTTAGAGAGTGGCAAGGAAAAGAAAGGGGGGGAAAACTGTAAAAACTGAGAAATCCAGATACAATAGAGCATTGGGAAACTAAACTAAAAGAATAAAAAAAAAGTTAAAGCAGAGGAAGTATCTCGAGTGAAATAGAAAATAGATTGTTATATTGTTACATTATAATCTGTGATCAACATTTTGACAATAGGATATTTTCTGAACACTGATGTGCCTGCAATTTTTGTAGTAAAACTGTATTTACAAATACACAATGAAATATTGACATAGATAGATTGTGCTGAAGGTATTATATTTAGCATAGAACTATTTATTATTAATATTTATTATAAATTAGGATATTTAAGTTAATATTAAGATCTATTTGAAGTGATATATGATTATACCATATTGTATTGTATGCCTTTATGATTGACTTACAGTTGTAAATTTTTATAAGTTTTTGGGTAGATAACCATATAGAAATAGAAACTGAAATCTAGAGCCTAGAAAAAACAAAACGTGAAAGAAGCAAACACTAAAATATTGATAGGTAAGGTACTTTTGCGAAAGCCAAAAGTAATATAAAAATGGCCAAGCCAATAATAGACATAGGGAAAAGGAATATAAGTAAGAAAATTAACTTAGAGGGATAAAAGAAATTATTATTAATGATAAAAATAGTGGATAGTAATCTGGAAAAAGATTTATAAAATTTTAGAAGAACAAAGTAACATTCTAAAAGAAATGACAAGTATCACCACTATATCACTGAGAACAGGGAAAAAGGTAGCATCAAACCCAACGGTAGCGATGACTTCCCCATCAACCCAGAGAATAATAGAAGGAATGCTGCCTACAGAAAAATCAAGCTCCAATTTGACTTCCCAAATGATGCAGACTACTCTCATAATGATTCAGGAAATTATGATGAAACTTCAGGAGACGATGATGAAAAACCATAGAGAATTGAAATCTGACATACATAACTTAGACAACAAAATGGATTCAATTCAAGAGGCGATACAAAGGAATGAGCAAAAATTGTCTGTGGAAATAAAAACTGAACAAACTGAAAAAAAAATTAGAGCAAATAGACTAAAAAAATGATGGCGGTAAACAAAGACTTGGAAAACTCATTAATGCATTTTGAAATTGATCAAGTCTCTTTTTACCTGAGGTTTCAAAACATGTTGGAAACAAAAGAAGATGACCTAGGAGAGATAATGGCAGGAGTGATTGCAGAAGCCCTCCAGAGAGATAAAAAAGAGATTATACACGAGATGGATGAAGTGTACAGAGTTCAAACCAATTATGCAACGTGCCACCATTTACCAAGGGAAGTACATATCAGATTTGCACGCAAGAATGTGCGAGATATTGTCTATAAAATCACAAGAGATGAACCAATGATATATCATGAAAGAGACATAATAACATTGAAGCAAGTCCCCAGGCGGATCCGAGAACAAAGTAAGGATTACCGGTTCTTAACATCTCTACTAAACAGAAGAAAAATATTATTTTGGTGGATCATTCCAGAGGGAATGTCAGTAACTTGGCAAGGCAAACGAATTAAAATTGATGATCTAGATAAAGCCGAAGAACTATATGACCAACTGATGGGGATGGAGGAAGATTCGAGCACTAAAGAGAGATTGGAAACACCCAGCTTAGATGAACAAAGACAAGAATCTGGGAACGAAGATGTGGAAGAAGGAGCCAAAACAAAGAAGGGGAATCGAAATGAAGAAAGGAGTACGAATACCAGACCACAAAGAATTACAACAGCAAACAAAAACCAGAGACCAGCAGACAATTAAGAAAATAAAGAAAGAAACTAAATTACTGTTAATAAACGTAAATGGATTGAATGACCAGGTGAAAAGGAAAAAAATACTTACAAAATTAACAAAACAGAATGTAGATATTATATGCCTCCAAGAGGCACATATCAAAAAAACATGATCAGAAATACTTGGAATATAATAAGTTCGGGAATTTATATGCAGCACTGGCAGAGAAAAAAAAGAGAGGGGTTGTGACATATGTCAGAAAAAAATAAAAACAAGTGTAATATATGAAGATCCGAAGGGAAAAATATTATTATTGGGATTAATAATAGGAGAAGTTAAAATGTTATTAGTTAATATATATGCTCCCAATAAAAACCAGAGGGAATTTTACAAAAAAATACATGGAAAAATCATTGAAACAAGTTATAAAAATATATATATCATGGGGGACTACAATGGGATAATAGATAGAAAAAAGGATTATATTAGTGAGAAGAAAAAAAGGGGGGGAGGAATGTATTACCAAAAACTTTTTTTTGATATGGCGGAAGAATTAAACTTGAATGATATATGGTGAACACTAAATCCCAAAGAGAGAAAAAATATTTTTTATTCCAACCCATATAAGTCCTTCTCAAGAATAGATATGATATGGGCAAATAAAGAACTAAGTAAAGAAGTAGAAAATGTAGAGATTCTCCCAAACATTTGGGCAGATCATAACCCCCTGAAAATAATATGGAAAGGTCAAAAAAAAAGAAAAACAGAAGATGGACATTAAACCCACAGATACTACAAGAGAAAGAATATATACAAAAGATTAATCAGGAATTGATCTTATTTCTAGAGGTAAATAATAAACAACACATTTCTTTGCAGAACCTATGGGACACAATAAAAGCATATACAAGAGAAATAACTGTAGCATATATGGCAAAAAGAAATAATGAAAAATGGAAACAGCAGGATATATTAGTGAAAGAATTAGAACAGCTAGAAAAAAAATTTCAAATAAGGCCAGGTGATGTACAACTAATTGAAGAATTAACATTAGTAAAACATAAATTAAACCTAATGGAACAAGCAGAACATGTTAAAAACATTAAATACATGAAACAATACTAATTTGAGAATGCAAATAAGCCAGGGAGGTGGTTATCATACAAATTAAGAAAAGAAAAGGAAAGTAGAATAATACACTAACTGCAGGACGAGGTAGGGGATTTACAAAATAAGAAGAAATTAAAAGGATTGCATTAAAATATTTTGAGAACTTATATATACAGGAAAAAACTGAGATAGAAGAAATAAATGATTATTTAAAAGAGAAAAAGATGACCATCATAGAGGAAGATAAGAGAACGCTGCTAAATAGGGAAATAACATCGACAGAGCTAAAAGAAGTGATTCAAAAACAAAAAAATAATAAGACCCCGGGACCAGATGGTTTACCAGGAGAATTTTACAAAAACATGGGGGAGCTATTAGAGCCCATTCTTTTAGAACTTTATAATGAGGTCCTGTTAGAAGCAAAAATGTTTCATGGAGAGAAGCATATATCACAGTGATTATGAAAGAAGGTACCGACCCAAATCAAATTCAAAACTACAGGCCAATTTCGCTTCTGAATGCAGACTACAAGATTTTTATGGCTATCATAGCAGGAAGGATGAAAAAAATACTGAATGAGATTATTCACTCTGGCCAAAATTGTTTCCTCCCTTCTAGACAAATTAGAGATAACACAAGAATAGTATTGAACATATTAGAGTATTATGAGGTGCATCCAGAGAAACAAATTGCCCTTATTTTTCTGGATGCTCAAAAATCATTTGAGAATTTAAATTGGAAATATATGATTAGTCAAATTAGAGAAATGAAATTCTGCGACAAATTTGAACAAATGATT